AATCAGTTCGAATTGTGAGGGTCAATAGAGGATGCTAAGTCATAAGTGGCCAGTCACGCGTACATGTTTGCAATGACATATGGTCATCCTTGACCGAAGCTGTTCTGTAATCCTTCCTACCCATAGAAACATGCATGAAAAGCCATAATAGATACATTTTCTATTCTTCTGTTCTCTCCTTTTTCTTTGTTTCTGTTGTTTTCTTTTGTTTAACTAAAGGCATTTTTATCAGATTGTTTGCCTACCCGTGCTTGCTGAATAAACCAGAACTGTGCAACGTACCAAGCCATACACTGTGGTTTGTGTCTTGGTTCCCACAAACTATGGCAACGTCAAAGGCTTAGCATCAAGAGGGAATCCATTTTGTTCTGACCCTATCCTGATGGGATGCAAAATCAAGGTTTCTGTTTGCCTCATCCCCTCTGCGGGGTTGTGAAGTTAATTGAAGAAGTTTTCACTTTCTGGGGTCTAAAGTTTATGAACTGATTCAGCCGAGCATCAAGTTCTTATAATCATAAACTCTTCATGACTTTGGCTTCTCAGGGGAGATGGGGGGTTAATAAGTTCACAAGTCATTCTGCCTTGACATGTTAACTTACAAATGAGTAATTTGCCGGGTGTTTACATTGTCGACCTCTGTGCTGTGGACTCTTTATTATTTTTGGGGGTAGGATAATAAAAGTACTCTGCTTTCCTTTTAAAAAATGGCACACAGCGTAAAAAAAGGGCTTCTTCTCTTCCCTCCATATTGAGAAGTGTAGATAAATAATGTTCACCATTGCTATATATGTGGTAAATTATCACTAAAACCCCATAATTATGGAGTGTAAAGCAAATACTTCACACTGGTTAGAATTAAGAATGAACATAGAGTTCTAGCAGCAGGAACACTAACATTTCTAAACATATCACACGTTTGACTTGTGTTGATCGAAGTTTAATTTGTTCTTCATGGGTTCATCTGACACACTGAACCACAAACTAGAGAACCCCATTTTAATGGGGTTCAAACACATCTTATTGTGATGTTTTGTGCAAAATCGGCTTAATGAAGTATACTTTTAAAATTGACAATGATTGAATTGAATTGAAAACAGCCATAATGTGGTTAATTTGTTTTTGACTTTGCATGTTTGATATATGAATCCACCTAAATGTGGCTTGTTGAACAAGACTTGACTGTAGCATAATAGAGACCAGTGCAATGGGGGGAAATTTTAAGTGTTAAGTGTGAGCAATTTACACAGAATTCTATTTTAAAAAAAAATTCTGCAGGTTTGATCAGTCAGCCGTACATAACTATGAAATACAACAGTAACTTACAGAGGTTGCAATATATGCTATATACATTTATGAAGAAACATGTTCCCCATTTGTTAATGAAACAGAGTGAAGGGGTTCCTATGCATCATGATTGAATTTATAGGGAATTTAGTCAAGTGGCCTGATTTAAGTTGAAGCGTGTCTATTCTGTTTGGAAAGCAAACATTCACCCAAGTCCAGAACCCCAGTCAGTTATGACAGCTGTATGGAGGGCAAACATGTTGACTTGCACATATTTTGTTACTGTTTTGAAAATAAGTGGCTGAATTTGGATACTCTGTTGAAAAGGGGCGATTAAATCCCGTCCGTTGTGATCACAGGGTTAAGTTACATGCCATTCACACTGATCTTAAGTTGCACCGTCAAAGCTTTCTATCCGTGTGAAGTTGACATGACTGAACGCAACTGAGTGTCCTTTCTGCCTGGACTTCCACTTGTTCATCAGAAGGTGATCACACCATCTTTCAGAAGAGGTCAGGCGACTGAAGGGCTGCCCTTTTTTACAAGTGTGTCATGTGCACAACACACATCAAAAAGGGGTGGGACTTCTGGGGTGGCACATCTGTCATTTTGAGGTCACTGACCACCCTCAGGAACTCCTCTGCTGGCCTCTGTGGAAGGCCACTCTTTCAACCTGTTTGGTGTCACACAACCCTTCCTTTGCCATTTTTTAAAGGTATTGCTTGTACCTTGGCATCTTATAGCTTGCATTCTACTCTCGGACACAGATTCCCTCTCCGTTTTCATTTATGCATTTATAATTTCAGCTTCTAAAGCTGGCCAGTCACCAATGACAGCAGCCAGGCAGCTTACAGAACATTACAACAAACAATAACAATTAGAACCACAGGAAATAAACTTGCCCCCTCTGTTTCATTCTTCCAATTTTCCTTCTTGGAAATACTTTCCAAGATATTTTTTTAAGAACGCTTTCCAAGGTGGTTTGTTCTTTTCAGTATGAACATGATATCCTTCACACAATCTCAGTGCTAATTCCATTATGCCATGACTTGGTCAGAAATAAGCATCTTCAGGTTCAGTGAAACTTGCTCCCACAGGAGTGGGTTTAGGATACTTTGGTGGGTAAATAAACACACGTAGGAAAATACAGATAACATTTATTAAAACATGTTATACAAAAGAGCAACAGACTCTTCTATAAGAAGAAAACAAAGAAACAGGAATGTCACATAAACCACGCTGTACATTATAAGGACAGCAGAATTATATCTCCAATCTTTGCAATATAGGCATAGCAGTTCACAGATCAGTTCTAATATAAGTGACAATGCTTAACAGAGAAACTTTTGTAGTGGAATAAAGGAGGTTCACTCGTTTGCAAAAACAACCACATTTATTCTAGAAATATGGTGGAAACCAGAAGGGGAAATGGGGAGGGGTGGGGGGAAGCAGCAACAACTGACTTAGGATGCAGGCTTCAAGCAAAGTAGAAGCATGTCAATGTAACACATCAAAAATGTTAATATACATTTAAGTTCTCCAGCTCTCCTTCCCCCTTGGGGCCTCAGCAGCTAGACTATGCAATTCTACTTATCCATGTCAAAATATCTGAATAAAAAAGCACAAATGCTTTCTGAATGCCTTAGTATTCCACTATCCTAGATAAAACAAATATCTTTAAAAAAATAGACTCTCAGGTTTAGAAATTTCATCTGCCTGAAACACATTCAACATATTTGCCCTTTTAAAAAACAAAGAGGCCAACGGCGAATTTTACAATATAATACTTACAGTCTTGGACTCGTGAAGCATGCTGTGTTAGCAAAGTGCAAGGAAATCACCTATTAAGCACTGATGGGTCTGTGGTTAATACCTCTAAAATCCTTTAAGGATTAGAAATAAGAATAGAGTTCCCAAACCCAGCAGTTTTACCTTCACAAATCAGCAGGAAAGTAATATGCGTTACTACCCAAATCAGACCAGAAGGGAGGAAAAAGATGCCCCAGCTTAGCAGCAGATATTTGAAAGAAAACGACAACTGCAGAAATGAACTTCAAGTATTATTTGTGGGGTGCTTCCTCCCTCTCAAAGGGGGGAAACACCCCACAAATAAGGGAAATGTTTTCTAGAGAAATGTAATTGTCCTTATTAGCAAGAGAGTTCAAAACCAAATGGATTGTTATCATTCAAAGCCACACTTGCCCCTGCGTTGGGCAAATGTCCAAGGAAAGAACCACCTTTTCTAGAATTGTTGCAAGGCAGAGTTAGTCTCAAACATGTTATGAATGAAGAGAAATTAGCGCAGCACAAGAATAATACATGCTGCTATTCCCTCACCACATACAGAATTCTGGCCTGAGTGGAAATAACATGTTTCTATACTTCAGGCATTTTACCTAGTCTTTCTCAATTGCAACTGCACCCTCAATTTCTCATAAAGGAGAAGGAACGGGCTATCCATTGCACACAAATTGGGCCTGGAATTGCTGCTGGCAAAGAGGAAACATGCTGATGATAAATATCTAAGTATTACTCCATACTGAAAACGACAATGAAGAGTTTTGAGATGTCTCTGTTCCTATCTGAAGCTGCTTACCATCCTGGGAACATTTTAAAAGTCCACGATCATAGTTCTTCCAATAACTGTTCCTGGTCCCCACTGTCAACCCCCTGCCAAGAGAAGCGTTATGCTAGGACCCAAACACTTTCTGCATAAGTCACACTAACTCTTCGCGTTAGCTCTCTGTTCACCTCCATGGCAGCGATACAGAAAACGGTCCCCGCGGATTAAACCCCTGGCATTCTGGCCTGACTTGACGCCTTCCAACTGGGCAGGAACTAACCTCCCCTCAAAGCTCTATAAGGTGGAGATTCGGAGAGATGGAGTCCCAACACATTGGGAGCATGGACACAGTCTTCTGCAATACGCCAGGCAGGTGTTGCACTGGCTATTGTCCATCGGGCAGCTCCAAGGCAGTGAGATTTAAACAAGCAAGGGAAATTTCCTCATTCTTAACGCACTTTTCCCTCCTAGTAGGTGGAGCACTTCTCAGTAAATGCTGCGCGTTCAGAAGCTGCCCAGCAGAATGATCCAAACTGAGTCGTCTTTTTTTTTTTTGCTATAGCTGGATTGGCAGCACAGAGAGGGAAAAAAGTGAGGTCCAAATGCGTGCAGTTGAGCAGTATGAAACACAGGCCTTTTTTTCCTAACTAAGCCCACAGACGTTTATCCAAAAGAGGGAGAAAAGGCTTCCTGGACATTCTAAGGCAGTGACTTTTTTTTGCTTCTGTTTTATTTTTGAAACAAACAAAACTAAAAACAGATCCTTAGGATCTTACTTTTCCCCCACACAAACCCCCAGTACCCACACTTATGTAAACAAAAAGCTTCTTACCTTTATAAAATTTCAAATAAGAAAAATCAGACAGACAACATGAAGTAGAAATCAAACCAGA